TTATTACTTAGAAACTGTGGAGTACTCGTTACTTTTACAGATTTATAGCACACTTATAAAGCCCAGAGAATAAGAAGGTGAACATTTCTCACTGGTTGAATATACCCAGCATTTAGCTTCTGTCATTTTCTATGACATGAGTAGTTTTCTTTGCATATACCGATTGCAATTAGACAATCTGAGTGAAAATGTCCAGATAAGAGCAAATTTTAACTTTGTGCATCTTTAAAGGTACAGTGAGGAAAACTAACACTTTCATTAGAGCCACTTTTATAAGATTTTTACCACTATTCAGAAAAGTTAGAAAACTTTTCTAAAGTCTCACGTTCTGAGATGAAGGTGAAACCTTCATCTCAGTTTAAGTTTATTGTGTTGCAGTTTAAGTCTATGGTTATGCAGAGAGGCAGCAACATCAAGGTTTTAATGAAAAACTAATGATAAAATAAAACTTACAAGCTGCCTGGAGAAGAAGTAAAAACAGCAGGAACCCAAGAAACAACAGGGTTAATTAACAAGGAGGAACCAGCAGTAAGAGAACAGGTGTGTAAGTACTGGGACAATGAACGCTGGGACAAAGGACAAGGGCTGATTAGTTAACACCTTTCAGGTGTGAGGAGAGAGGGAGTCAAAAAGCAGCACAGGAAGTGAGGGAGAGCACACTGGGAACAAAGAAATGAACCTGCCACTAAAGAATGAAGAAACATAATTAAACTAGAGCAACATAGAAAGTACTGAACCAAAAGAAGGCAGAAAGAGGCTGATCTAATCAAAATCAGAGCAAATAATAAATCACAACTTAAGAACTCAAAACATTCTCCTGATTCTTAGTTTGAAAGGAGCAATGTGATTGTGATTGTGCTTCTGGTGACTCTTCCTAGAAGACGGCTTTGTTTATTTAATATCAACACATCCGTTCAATCCCTAGGGCCCGTTTCAACTGGTTTTTATTTGGTTTCAGACTTGTACATTATGTAATTTATCAAAAATGTCATTTAAAGATAACTATGTAATCTCAATTTAAAAAAAAGATTTATGTTCCTTTCCCTGGAGTCAGTTGGAGCCGTTCATTTCAAAACATTACAATCCTCAGTTTGTCATGATGGTGAATCTCATTCAATCTGCAAATAAGTTCTCAGGTTTCTTCAAACTAATTTGTACAAAAGAACATTTCTCCCATGCATATTTCCTAAAATGAATATTGTTCCACTTTTAGTTGTCTTCTGAAATAAAAGCAGATTTATTTCCATTTAGTTTAATTAGCTTGGCTTTATTCGGTTTATTGCAAAAACATCGTCTCAGAACAACATTATTTTCCACAGCAGCCTCTTAATTACAGTGGTCACAGTGTTGAGCTTTCAGTATAAAACTACCACAGAGGCAGAGAAAATCATGACATACAGGCACAGTTAAGGCCAAATATATTCATACCCCAGGCAGAAGTTTTTCATCCTAACTGGAATATGGTAAATAATGTGAAGGGAGCTAAAGATTAGGGGAAAGACCTGGAGACCTGGAATCATGACTTAAAATATCACTGGAAAAACAACACCCCGCACTTTTGGTCTAATTTCTAGTGCAAATGTCTTACTACATTTAAGATAAAACTAACTCATAGTTAACTTTTCAACAAGATATAAAAACTTTTTACAGTCAATCATTCTTTGATGTTTTTTTAAAAAAATTACCAGTTCCTCTAGCAGATTATTTCACCTATAACGAGACTTTTTTTTAAATAAATGTTTCCCATAAAAGCTAGTAGTTTTTCACAAAATTAAGAATTTATTTACTTTAAACAAGCCCCTATGTCTTGCTGAAAAGTTACATATGAGTCAGTTTTGACTTATTCCAATTGCACTAAGATATTTGCACCAGAAACTAGACCAAAAAAAAACGTTTTTGTGTTTTTGCATTGAAATTGTCAGCCTGCTGGTGGAAACAAGCAGGCAGAAGCCGCAACTTAAAGGAAGGATTTTATTGTTGCGATGGCAATAAAGATTTCCCATTATTGCAGATGGAATAAATAATACTCAACAAGATTTTTTTTTCAATTACTCTGGTTTTGGAAAATAATTTTTTCAAAACCAATTCTACTTTTACGTTTTGTTACTTTTGGAGCGATGTCTGTCTCATTCCCTATCAAAAAAAAAACTCAATTTAAGCCTGCCAGGGGTATGAACCATTTTGGCTGTAACTGCACCTCTAATCTAGGCAGCTCATTTCTCAATGATATTGGTGGACTCAGACACCAGTTTGCCGTCACTGGTCTCAATGCTTTTGACAATGACATTTTTCTTGGTGGTGGTGCTGTAGCCGCCAGCAGAGCTGCTGCTGTAGCCTCCGCTGGAGTAGCTGCCATATCCGCTGGAGTAGCTGCCACTCATGCTGTCCATGGGGACACCGCTGTAACTTGCTGTTGAGCATCAAATCAGGCATTAGCAAAGGAGGCAGAACGTAAACTTCCGGTCGGTTTCAGACAACTTACTGCTCTGTTTGGAGATGCTGATGGCCTGGATGCCACTTGCCAGTCTGTCCTCCTCTCCCTCCAGCAGCTTCCTGTAGGTGGCGATCTCGATGTCCAAAGCCAGCTTGACGTTCATCAGGTCCTGGTACTCTCTGATCTGGCGGGCCATGTCCTGCTTGGCTCTCTGCAGTGCCTGCTCCATCTCCTTGATGCGGGCCTGGGATTCCTTCACTGCCATCTCACCGCGCTCCTCAGCCTCTGCAATCTGTGCCTCCAGGTTGGTGCACTAACAAGAAATTAATTAAATAACAAAGTCATTGCAACAGTTTTGGGTGTAACAGTACAAATATTGAGATGGGATCTCCTGTACACTCTATACCTGTCCCTTGATGGCATCGATTTCTGCTGTGAGTCTCTGGATCATGCGGGTGAGTTCGGCAATCTCCGTTTTGGTAGCTCGCAAGTCGTCTCCGTATCTGTTGGCAGAGGTTTGCATCTCTTCGTACTAAATGAGGGTCAAAGGAAAGAAGGTCTTATAACTGCAGCTCCGGCTTAATCTGTGAAGCAACAAATACTTTTTGAGTTATTGAGTACCTTGGTCTTGTACCATGTCTCTGCCTCAGCACGGGTGCGGTTGGCGATATCCTCGTACTGCGCCTTGACCTCAGCCACCACAGCATCCATATCCAGGCTGCGCCTGTTGTCCATCTCCACAATAACTGAGGTGTTCTTGATCTGGCTCTGGAGCTCACGCAGTTCCTGAGGAAATTTGACCAATAGGCAAAGCCTGTCTTCAGCTCCAGGTGTTTAGCTATGCCTTCACTTTAGTTTGCAATAATGGTAAATGTAAAGGATTATTGTGTAGATTAAAGGCAAAACTGTCAGAATCAGTGGCATGGCTTTGGAACGTTAAACAATCAAAAGATATTCAAGGCTGTGACAATCTTGTGTCTTGAAGATCTTGTGCAGCAACTAGGTCACAGGTAGAAGCAGTGATGGGCACTGCTAGCTAAAACATTAGGTGTGATAAGCACAAATAATAAACATTAATTCCACTAAACCTAAAGCACAGCATCAAGGTGGTATTTAGCAAAAGCTAAAGCCAATGCACTAAAATTGCCTAATTTAAAATCATCTCTGAGCTTGAAAGGCTACAATTTACAGCACCAACTTAACATTATGATCTACATTCTTTTTCCCATGTCTTCTCTATTGCCTGTGTTGTTTGAAATAAGGCTACAGGGAGAAGAAAAAGGGAGAACATGAGGAGATGAAAGCTAAATCTTGCTAGTATCCACACATGGAACCGGTTTCCTTTAAAATCTATTAATTATTTGTAATTTAAATAACTTTGAGCACATTTTGCAAGGATGTCCATCAAAGACTTGTCAGAGATGGCATATGACCCGGGTCAGCCAAAAACAAACTTCAACCAGCAAAGGAGAAATATGATACAAATATCAAATAAATGCAATGACAGAAATTACAAAAACAAAATGGATGCTGAAGGGATTGAAGGTGAAAAAATCCACAAAATAAACACAAGCTGGAAAAGTTGGAGCTGTACCTCCTCGTAGATGGACCTGAGGAAGTTGAGCTCATCCGTCAGACTGTCCAGCTTTGCCTCCAGCTCAACCTTGCTCATGTAGGCCTCATCTACATCCTGGAAGAAATGTGCTCTTCAGAAGGTGATATCAAAAAAATAAATTGACTTACTTCTGCTTCTGATGAGAAGGTAAACACCAAATAATGGCAGTTAACAAGTGAACTTTAAATGTCCAGCCTCTACCTTCTTGACGAGGACAAACTCGTTCTCACACTCCGTGCGCTTGTTGAGTTCCACTTCATACCTGAGAAGGAAAAAAATGTTCAGAAGTGATTTTGAATATTCAGAAAGGTTTTGTCTCTAACATCCTGATGGACACAGCAGCTCTTCACTTGTTCTTGAAGTCCTCCACCAGGCCCTGCATGTTGTGCAGCTCTCCCTCCAGTTTGATCTTGTCGTTGCCGAGCCCGTCCAGCTGTTTGCGCAGGTTGGCGATGTAGGCCTCGAACATCGCGCTGATGTTGGAGTGGATGGTCGTCTGTTCCTGGAGCAGGCTCCATTTGGTCTCCAGCATTTTGTTCTGCTGCTCCAGGAAACGGACCTAATTACAAGACAGACATAAAGAAAAGAAAAAAAATCAAATGTTAGGTAATTTAATTAATTTCCTACAAGATCGTGCAAATAAAGTTAACATGATTCAATTTCTTTGTCTTGTATTGAATATTTTCCCATGAGTTAAAAATCTAGCAAAACCTTTTAAAATGATGTTTAAGGTAAACAGGTTTTTCAATAGATCTAGACAAATTAACTTCATGACAAAAAAAGCAAAAACAGAAGGAATCTCTAAGATGGCTAATATTTTCCACACTCTTGCTCATTTGTAGACTCAATTGACGAAGCTATTGTCTTGTCAGTGACATACTGTTGGAACATTATAGTAGCTGTCTTTAATCCCAGGTTGGACCTCAGTGTTTAGTTTGACCTGTGTGTAACCCACATAAAGTGGGGATAGCCTTTTGGGAAATAGAGATTGGGTAGGCGGGGTAGTCTGCCTGGCCAATGGGAAGTTTGATTCCCATGAATGTTTAGACCAATCAGAGAGCGGAATGCCACAGAGGCTCCACCTTCTTTCCCGTGTTGGCAGCATTGATTGTGAGCGGGAGATCCGACCCTGATCAGACAGCTGAGCCAGAGTGAGAGTCTTTTGGTTTCTTTCTAATATCATTTATTGACTTTGAAGGAATTTTTTCTTGTAAATAGTTATTGTTTAAATCCAACTTATAAGTTAGAAAGAGTGATAAGTTTCAGAAAACTGAACTTCAGTTTTTCTGCTGTTAGAACCACTAAGATCAGTTGGAACTGTTGCACTTTCTGGCAGTTGATTGGCAGTTGTTTTCAGTTCAACTGAAGGTAAAGCCTGTATAATAATGTATTTTTATTTTACTTAATTCATTTTCTTTAAGTTAAAACTTAAAAAATATGCATTTTACACTGTCTAGTGCCCTCCGTGTCTGGAATGAGAGTCCCTGTCTAGTTGTTTTGAACGTGCCGCACTGAGATCGGTGAGCATATTTTGTACCTTTCATTTGGTTTTTGTTCTTTCATCTTGTTGTCAAATAATGATCTTTATTTGACCTACTTAGTTATTAAAACGTGAACCTTTGCTGAGTTTGTGTAAAATGTAATGTTTTATTATTGTTCTTGGAAAAGGATTTTTCAAACAGTTATGAAACATAATAAGCTAGAATGGTTTAATAATAATTCTATGTTTCTGCTGGTCTTGTCTGTTGACAGATCAGGGTTTTTTTGTTGTTGTGTTGTTTTTGTTTTTTTTGCTTTTTCTTCTCTTCTCCTGGATTGTTCCTGGAGTGGATTCCCCTACTGACTTTGATGAGAGCCTTCCCACCTGGACTTAGAAAGATCTGGATTTCCTCCCATGTTGAGTGAGACCTGAACCAGGATTTAATTTGATTCATTTGTCATCTAAAAGAGATTAGAGCGCAAACTACCAGAGTGCACCCAATAGATTTAAATTTGATATTTAGCACTTGGCCAAGTATTGTTGTTTTATTTCATGTATTTTATTGTGTGTAATTTTATTTTCTTAATTGTATGTCTTGTCCACTTGTGAGTTTATGATTCATGTTACTAAAGCTAATTGTTTTTTAAATTCACTCAACTGTGTATGTGTGTCATTTAAACACCCATCGTGCTCCGACAGCCAAACCTATTGGCCCATCTACCTAAAACATATTGTACCCTTCTCAACTGTGTTACATGTGGAAAACCCAATGGGTTCAATAATCTGTTTCTGTCAAGGAAAGCAGATGGGAGAGACTTCTGAGTATTAATATTGGGAGATGAGTAGGTGCAATAAAAATGAAATGCTGTGTCATTATGAAGTTCAGCATGTTATTGTTTAGGCACATCATCAGTAAATGATTAATCTAAAATGTCTATTCGGTGTCTGTGATTTAAAAAAAATCTGATTAGAATGTTTTTGGTTATTAAGAGTGTAGCACCATTAAAATGGAAAATGAGTGAGATTGACTAATTGTCATTTGATTGTATTTAAACTGGAACTGACAGGTCAAATGCAAAAAATAATATTATACTTACTGTTCATCAAAGGCATCAAAAGTGCATTTAATTAACAGTATCATGTTCTTTTGCACCTTTTATTTTGGGAAGAATCAAATCATAGAGGGGAATGTCTGCTTTGATGCTGAAACTATGAGAATCTTTCAATCCATTCATTTATTACAAGACAGGAAAAAATGCCACCTCACATCAAACGTATCTTTTAAAAGGGTTGTAGCCTAATCTCCTTTTTTATAACAGGTAGTTTAAAAAGGCAGTGATGAAGAGAAACAGCCACTTAATCCTTCTCCTGCATAGCTTCCTCTTTTTCAGCAGGGATGGACACAAAAAAAGGTGTGGCAAAGTTTTGTCTCCTGAGTGCAGAAAGGTAAATATGTAACTGCATATTATAGGTTTTGATAAGAGAAGATCAGAAAGACAGCTGAGGCAACTCAAAGGCAACTGAAAGTTTCAGGTGATGTTTTTACTGCACAACTAGTTTGCATACTTGTATGTAGTAAAAGAGTAATGGTGAGAGCAGGTGTGACTCAGAGACGCTGCATTTTGAGATTAAAAATTTAACGAGTTACTATAATGCTGAGTTGAACTTGAGAAAATGCAGACAATAAAGTGAGTCAGACAGATAACACAATCTTTGGGTGAAATTTATGTCCCGTTATCTTTGTCTAATCATTGTTCTGGGTGGAGGAGAGTTGATACCTTGCCACCAAGCGGCCATTGATCAGGACATAAAACCAGTCGGCGTTCTTTAAATATTAACTCTGCACCAGTGACATCTCAGAGGATTTTGTCCAGTTAAATTAGATGAACAACTTGAACTTGTCACCCTTTAACCAATCGAGAACCAATCGAGAACCAATCGAGAACCAATCGAGTTGCGACTCGGTGGACCTCAAGGATGGAAGTCAGCACCCGCCTAGCTCCAAATAAGGTCGAGTATTCCTATCTTAAATGTTGTCAAAGGAGAACAGCATTTAGATTGTGAATCTGACTCATGTAGATCCCACTGTAAGTTGCTGCTAATGGCTCTTTCAGTATGATCTCCACATCAGGTTTGAAACAGACACTGTTAGAAACTAACATATTCAAAACACTGCACCTTTCTGCATCATTGTGTAACCAGATTGTCTACAGTTTTGTTTCTATGTCAAAGTTTGCCTAAAACTTTGTCCATCAAAATAACATGGTTTCACAAAGACTCAATTAAAATCACAAGAATAAGTTTGTTCATGTGTCATGAAAATCATCCTGCAACTACTTCCTGTTGTCTTCTTCTTCATGGTCTGTGCCATCAGTAACATGTAATTGTTGATCTCTTGATTTGTACGATGCGAAAAAAGTGTTTCCATCGCAGTTTTGTGAAATAAACCTATTTCAATATAGCCAAAACTTTTTATTGAAAAAAAAAAACAAGTCACAGAAAGATAACTAAAGAAATTCCAGTTTTCCAAGAACCTCAACTGATGACACCTGATCATAACACACTGGGCTATTCAGTCGTTATCAAGACTGTACAAAAGCGTAGGTGTAGATCCTCTAGATATTTTAAATGACTTTAATGCGAGGATGGGTTCTAGGACAGCAATCTGGGCCAAACTGTCTGGAATGATTCAGGTATCTAAATCTACCAGCTATGCAATCAACCATGGATAGTTGTTCTATCCCAGAACATTGCTTATTTGAGCTTCTCCTTGAATGTGAGGTCACAGCTGGGTCCAGTCCCATCAAGAGAACATGATGGATACAAGAAAGCTAGACCATGAAAGGACCTCCAATTGGACAAATGTCGAAGAAGTAGAGAAATGGATATGCACTAGACCCAGTTCTGTACAGCCATTGTCTCAAACAAATGACTAGAAACGTCACCAAACAAAAACAGTTCATCAGAATCAGTGGAAGGTATGTTTGCAACTTTTCAATAAAATGTCCAAAGCCAGAGATGTCACATTGTTGTTTGGTATTTGTAAACTGGATCAGTACCGGAAGTCAGATCTGACACTTCTGAGCTGTTATAGAATAGGGTGGAGCTGTATAATCGCTTTCAATGTTTTACTGTGGCAAAGATAAGCAATGGGAGTGATTTTGTGTGTGTTAGATCGTTGCCTAGTACTAATGCAGTGAAACATCCACTTTAGAGTGAGTGGAAAAGACTAGGGCTAAGGTGTGTCTTAAGATTAGGATAAAGTTCAGGACAAATCGAGTTACCAAAATGAATGGAAGTCGAAACAATGTCCTGATACGTGTAGAGATACAAACTAATATTTGTGTGTTTGCAATAGGAGGAAGTGATGATCATTCATTCAAGAAGAACTTACACAACTGGAAATAAATCCAATGTGATGGACATGAGATTCTCAGTCCAGTGTTGCATAACATCAAGACTGTAAAACAGCCTTTACAATCTGTAACTCAATCTTGGACTATACTGCAGCAATTCCTGACAATTTCTTACCTTGTCAATGAAGGAGGCAAAGCGGTTGTTGAGGCCCTTGATCTGGTCTTTCTCTTTGGTGCGGACGACTTGGATTGTGGGGTCAATCTCGAGGTTCAGAGGGGCCAGAAGACTCTTGTTCACGCTGACGGCAGTGATGGGGGCCATGCCCCCTCCAAAGCCCATACCCAAGCCTCCTGCACCGCCCATGCTGGAGCTGACACTGTACGCAGAGCTGCTGGTCATACCTGCACCTCCAAAGCCTGCTCCTCCGTAGCCTGCTCCTCCGTAGGATTTGTAGGACCTCCGGGAGCTGAAGCCTCCAGCAGGTCCAGCGTAGGAGCTGCTGCTGAAGTTTCCAGGAGAAGAGCTCCTCAAGGAAGTAGATTTGACCCTGAAAGACATTACGCAGGCTAATTTTTTAAGAAAGAAAATGGAATTAGGATGTCAGGCAGGCAGACCAGTCAAGGGCAAAGACCAAAGTGGGACAGACAGAGGGAACTCTATGGTGTCGTTTATAAGCCTTCCTCTGCTGAGGGAGGGGACCTAAACATACCTTTGGACCTCTGGGTTTACTATTCAGTCATTATAATCACCTCCTCTTTTTATAGACGTCTATGACTGATACAGAAATCCATCTGAGAAAATAGATTTCTATAGATTTCTGCACTTTTTTTCTCTCTGTCTCTCTATTTGGATCCTCTCATTGTATATTCAGATCAATCTTTTTTCATAATCACACATCTTGCATGTATTACAATCATTTTTAATAATATGATTTTCAATTCAGCTGAAAAGTGTAATACATAATTGTGGTACCTATATGTCACCAAAAATATAACAAAACAAACAAACAAAAAACCCTAAATGCTAGGGTTTGTCCATTGTTGTAAATTGTTGTGTCCCAGCTTTTAATATTCTTGTACCAACAAAGTTAGGACTACTACCCATTGTTCCTCTTTACTAGTAATTTCTATTTTACATTATCTTTTCATAGAAAATGTTTTTGTTCAAAGCAGAAGTCCTTACACCCCTGGAATTATATCAGAGGAAGTGAGATGGTTTAGTATCTTGCCCAAATATATGTCTTGCTGGCCCAATTGGATCTGATGTTCCATGAGGTGAACTCAGCTTCCCCTGAGCAAATTTAAGAGTCACATTACTATGGAAAAATTTCTGCAAGTGTGCTTTAGGTGTCACCTAGCTCCAGAAATGAGTGTTTTGTTTTTGTTGTTTTTTTTCTGGAAGAAGAGTTTTTTTCTTCAAATTACCATTAAAAAACTTGCTAGGTATTTAGATGGTTTAATAGTTTCGTCTCAAATTGTGTTTTTCCATCATTTAAAGAACATTAAAGATCCATGTTAAAGCCATAAACTATTGACCAAACATTGTTCTCGCTTTGCTTTATAGACTTCATGGCTCCATTAAGTTTACCAGGTCCAGAACCTTTTGTAGTAACCCAGGGTGTCACACTACCACCACCATGTTTAGCTGCAAGCGTCACGCTCTTTGACTGAATTGCTATGTATATTTTAGATCACATGTACTGGAGCTCACATCTTCTAAAAATGTCAGTTTTCCTGAAATTTCGAAGAGCATCAAGATGCTTTCGGTGAAATATCAGTAGTGGACTTTGGCCTTCATTTGTGGATAATGGCTGGCTCACTGGAATCCCAATGCCTTAGAAGTTGCTGAGCCTAATCTACATTTCTTTGTGAGATCTATTGTAGAGATCTATTGGTTTGCTTCAGAACAACTCAACATTTAGGAACTTCTTACTTAGACATTTTCTATTTTGTTAGAACACCAGGAATTCAGCAGCGAGAATGAGAGTTCACTGAAGTAAGGCCCAAGCTGACACAATCAACCCTAAGACCAGTTGGAGTTAACAAGGCACAATTCCCCCAATAGATGGCGCCACAGACCCCTGCAAAAATAAAAGCAGTCTGAACTGAGGCTGCCCTGTTTAGTTTACAGTCAGTGTTTTCATGTCAGACATGAAACATCATATTACATATGTATTATATATGATGACGTTTTGTCATATGGAAGCAGACCATCACAATTTGTGATGGGCAAGCTTCA